TTTTTTCCATCAAAGAGAAAGGCTTTTCAACTGTAGTTGCTAGCCTCTAACTTCTGAACCAAGAAATTTGCGGATGCAGTGTGCTGTTAGTTGGCCCTGTGGCCCAAGGTGATCCATATGGTGCAGATGGGACAGAGTCACAACCCTGGAGTCTCTGCAGAGTGCAGCTGAAATTCACACCTCATAACGAGAATCCTGGGAGTTGCTAAGTTTGGCAGCGTCAACATGCTGCTACCAGGTTCTGCTTTGGGATGCAGATCCTGAAACTAAATGCTTGGGAGGAGGTTAAAACCAGCTTCTGAAATCTTACTTTGACTCCCAAATTTTTAAATCCTAGTAACAGTCACTTCATTCTGGAGAGTGGAGAATGGATGTTAGGGGTTTCTGTCAAGAAAATCCAATAACTGTTAATTTAGCCTATAAAATGTCATTGCTGTTTCAAGTCTTGAAGATTTAGAAATTTGATGTCATCTCTACCTGGAGGGGCTCAAAAATTATATAAATGTGGGTGCAAATGTGTGGTGGAATACTTGCATCCTAAGTAAGGCACACATGAAACCCTCTGTTTCACACACGGCAATGACCTACAAGAGTCCAGAAACATGGCATCCCTTCCCAGCCACATCCCAGGCACTGGGACCACATGGAGATGTTTTTGGTTCCAGATTTGAGGCAATCAATCCAGCCTGTTTGGGTATTGCCTACCCGGTCTGCCCAGGTCTGCACCCCTCTGGAGGCATGGTGCCAATGAACCCAACTCTCATGCTAAGCAGCTTGTTAAGTCAAAGGAGAATGAGTTTCTGACAGACAACAGGAATTGTGTCACTAATGTGTCAGTTCTGCTCTCCTGTGCAGAGGAGACAAGAGCATACAGCTGTAAAGTGGTGCTATGCCGCAAGAGCCAGCAGCTGAGTCCCTCTGAATTGCCCCAAATGTTCAGCTTTTGGGGAGGAGATGTGCATTGGGGAGAGCAGGCTAAATTTTCTCTTCAAAACCTGGCATATAAAGATTTGGATAAGCATGTTTTTGGTTTTTTTTTTTTTGGTTTTTTTTTTTCAGAAAAGCTATTAATTTGCTGCTCTTTTAGAAGTAAGAAATATCTCATTCTCTTTTTTCTTACAGTCTGATACCATTATTTGTTCTTTGCATTTAATATGATTATGCCTAACTACTCCAGGGTGCCAAAGCTTCAAAGAGCTAAAAACCAAATATTTTTTCAATTTTACTCTGAATGATGCCTAAATACAACAAAAATAAATCTACCATAAAGTCTCAGTAAAAAATAATATACACTTGAGCAGATCTTTTTTCTGCTCATTTCAGATGTGCCTAATCTTTTTAACAATTTGACACATTAGAATATTTACACTGATCGGCTTTTGGCAGATTTCTGCATCATGCACAAAAACACTGCCACACAACAGTTTCTGCCAGGGAAGTCAAGATACAGAAATGGATAGCAAAGGAGGAACCAAATATGCCTGCATAGTCCCTCCTACTACTGCTGCTGAGTTTTGGATTGTAACATCCTCTGTGATGGCACCTCTGCCTGTCATGAAGCATCCAGAGTGTGGTGACAAAAAGAACCATTTCCACCTATTGCATTTCACAGCTGTGCAGGAAAGACCAGAGTTTTTGCATGATGAATTTCAAGCTTAAATAATCAAAATCACTAATTTTTACCTGATCAATGAATCTTTGATTCATTGCTTCTTATTTTTCCTTCTTTTTTTTTAACATTTTCTTTCCAGAGTTACCTACTTACATCTACCACTTCACATCATCACATCACATCATCACATCACACCACATCACATCATCACATCACATCACATCACATCACATCACATCACATCACATCAATCACATCACATCACATCACATCACATCATCACATCACATCACATCACATCATCACATCACATCACATCACATCACATCACCACATCAATCTCCTGGTTTCACTTTCTGCAGTTGCACAAGGCTTCCTCTTCTTTCCAGAGGGGAGTGAGTGCCATGCCACTATGGGGTGATAAAAGATAGGCATTGCACATCTGCCCCCATGTTTCTGCACATGCAAGATATCAGTTTTGCTGCACACAGCAACCACAGAATACTTTCTTTACCTTTCAGTGGAACCATTTATGCTCTTAGGTTTTCTGGTCCTTTGGTTCAAGGTTTTATTTAAGAAAACTAAATGTGTGTATCTTCCAAGGCTGAGATAAAGGCAATGGCAAATGAAGAGGCCTCTAAAGCAAGTTGTCTCTATTCTTCTTTCAAATAATCCATTCTTATTGCTTATGGATTTTTAAAATATCTTTCCAACTTATGAAGCATGCTGTGGTGCAGTACTACAATACAGTGACTTTAAAAATAAGCCACTCTAAAGGTTAAGAAAGAAGAACCATATTTTAATATATATTAGATAAAAAATTGTCTTGCAATAATAATTGAACAGCATTTTACATTAAAGCAGAGAGAAGTCTGAATTTCTCTCCTATAAAACTGTCTCAGTCTCTTAAAACATTGAAAGTTCTCAGAGACTTTTCAAGGTCCCAGCTGAGGAAAAACAAAGTGAGTTACCAGAATCAATCAGCTATTCCTTCAGCACAGAGGAGTTTCAAGGATTTGATCTTGCCTTTTGTAAGTTTTTGAGATTCAATCATAAAATATTTTATTTTGCCATTCATTTCAGAATTTGCTTAATGTCACCATTGAGAGTGGAGTGGGGAAAAAAGTCTGAACACCAAATTTCAAAGAGTTATAATGACTTGTAGTGGTTTAAAAGTTTAAAATTATTTTATTCTAGAGAATTAGCTTAATTCTAGTTGTGGTAACACAGACAGCCCATGGCTTCAAATTCTATGACTAAACAGCATTTTGATAAAACCAGCCCTCAACAAAACATGGCAGTGGCAGCAACTGAGAAATACTCACTGGCAGAAAAGCTAATAGTGATGGAAAATCTGAATTAGCCCTGGAGAGTGCTGGAGCAGGGCACGGTATAACCTTTTGCAGCACCATCAGCACTACTTAGAGAAAGTAGCTGGCAAAGCCACAAGTCACTCTAGGTTAGCCCTGAGAGCTGCACATGATCTGGCCTGTGGGGTAGATCCTGAGAAGCCTCTTAGTGCCTGTAATATGCTTGAACTTAACAGCTCTGTAGGAATGAAAGTGCAAAAAACCCACCAAACCCAAAAGTTCAGTGTAATAAATTTTAACTCTAGCTAAGAGAATTCTCTAAATATAAGAAAGAAAGATAAGAAGAAGGAAGAAGAGGGGTAAAAAAATGATAAAATATTTTCAAGAAGCTTGGATGCTACCTAAATACTTCTTTGCAGAGTTTCAAAGTCAACCTGTACAATCAGTCAGAAAAAAATCCAAAAATATTTCCCCTCTCTTTTATATAATATATATGAGCATTTCCCCAGTGGTTTTCAGCAAAATATTGTGGCTCTATAATATTTATTTTTATCCTTCTTCTTTATAAGATTTCTTTTTTATCTATTTCATGTTCCAACCTATGAATCATTTGTCACCATAAAATATTGATCACTGGTGCATATTAGTCAGAGTTGATTGCCTCGTGACTGGTACTGATTATCTGTATTGATCTAGACTGATTCCCTCCTCTAAATAATTCCACTGAATTACTCTGATGACTCCAGCCTCTTCTGGAGAGTCTGATTATTGCTCAGACACCCAGAGGTTTCTGCAGTTACTAGAACAGCCAAGTCCAAAGCCCTAGATCCAGGCATGTCCTAACTTGGGAGGGTTCAGAGTCAAAATTTGGACCTGAATTTCCCCTGCTAATACTGCCCCTGGGAGCTGGAGGGCCCTATAGTGGCCCCTCTCTTGCTGCTCATGTAGGCAGGTATGGGAACAGTCCCAAGAAGACTGGGGATGTGGATGCCTGGGAAAAGCACAGGGGAAAAGGTGTGCTGTGCTAGCAAGAGAGAGGAGTTTAAAGACTCCTGAGCTCTCTCATGGCCATCTGTGTCTACATAAATGCAGAACTGGGTTTTACCATGAGCAGGTAAGGAGAGATTGAATTGGTGGGGTGTGAGTGTGAAGCACATCAAGTTCTGCTTAGGATTGCAGTGTCATTGGGGCAGAGCATCCTCACAAAGCTGAACAAGTGCAGTATTGACAAGTGACTTCGAGCTCTGGTCAGGGAAGGTGAGTGCACTCTCATATGTACCCTTGGTGTAAATCTAGGGTGATGCCACTGGAGATGGGTAAAAGCATCTGAATAAACAGAGGGTATGTGGGATTAGTGCCCATAAAATCTGTGAATAGAGAAATAATTGATTACCTTGTTCTGAAGTGTATTGAGCTTCTAAGTATCTAGGAGCTGTGCCTTTCCAGACAGGTTTTCCATATGGTAAAGAAAACACTTCTTTCCTGGGTATACAGCACACTCCTTGCAGAGGTGAGGGAGAGGTCTATTTTTCAAGTCAGGTAGATATTGACAGGTACCTTAAGCCTACAAACTTAATAGGGTTTTTTTAATATGGGAGAGTGTGTTGGTATTTGTTTATGGATTTACCATAAGACTAAAGGTAATCAAAATCATAGTGAGCTCAGCTAAGGTAAGTAAGCAATGCTGCTGAGTGGAAAACCCAGGCTCCTGGGCTTAGAGCAGGGAGGAGCTCCATGCTTTTGCAGGTGTGCCTGACTCTACAGCTAACAGCTTGGGGTGCAGGGTAATCCAGAGTCCACAAAGCACATGGCACACATGGCACTTTGTTACTGGCTGTTGCTGTTGGAAAGAGCATGTGGATGGTTGTTGTCAGACTTGTACCAAAGGAAAGCTCAAAGGAATGCCAGCGTGGCTTTGGTTTTTTTTTTTTTTTCTTTCTATCACTCAGCTGCACTGAAGCCCGACACCTCTGGTAGCCAGTGAGAAGCTGGTTTTGTGCTGCGCTTTTACGGGAGAAGCCTGCCTGCATTAACTCTTACTAAAATCAGCACCTAGACAACTTAAGCAAAATCCAGTGATGGAGGTCAACTCCACAGAAGCCAGCAGCAGCTCCCAGGGAGGCACCAGCTGTCTGGATCTTACCCTTGTCACCTTCACTGAAACAGTGACTTTCACAGAAGTGGTGGCAGAAGAGGAGTGGGGATCCTTTTACTATTCCTTTAAGGTATTACTTTAAAGGGTGCATTACTTTTCTCAAATGCTTGCAGCTTTGGAGCATTTTCAGCACATATGTGGGGAGGCAACTCTTTAACTTTTTTTTTCAAGTATTGGTGGGGCTTTTCCCCCGCAAATACTGCTGACAGCATGTGTGAGGCATTTACTGAAAAGCAAAATACTTGTAGAAATTGGACTTCAGATTTACATGTCTTAGCTAACTCTATCCCGTTCCAAGAGAGGACAGTACTGTTTTTCTGTAGAGGTATGGTAATTATACATGCATCTTTAGTCAAAATCTCACATTATTTTAACACATTTTTAATGTCATTTCTTAGATGCATCATCTTGACATAAGGGATTTCTTTTCAATTTTCCAGCTGCAACAAACATTGTACACAAGTGAGATGGGGGTTTTTGTTGTTTGGGTTTTTTTTAATCATGAGGGACAGGTTCTAATTTGTCTTTTGTTTGTTTGTTTGCTTGTGAGTTGAATGGGGGATGCAGTGTCTCTTGAAATCTGTTGTTAAGAATGCATCAGATGAGTCATTCAGTAGTGAATGCTGTTGAATTGAATGGGAAGTGTATTTAGTCATCTACAAAACTAAACATCACCCTAGCAATATGTAAATGTAGGGAAAAGATTGGAGAAGTTCTGAAGTTCATATTTCTTTCAGATTTCTATGCCTGTTGCTACTGCTTAATTTTGTTCTGAATGTCATGTGTCTCTTTATTTTTATGGTACATTGTACAAGTTCAAGTCATTAAAAAGTCTGGCTAGGAGTGCCCTGCCCTGCCCTTCGGGACCTCCGCACCAAAGAGATCAATTTCAGCTGGAAAGATCCAGGCATTTATATCATTTGACAACATGTGAGGTAAAAGGGGATATATTCAGAAGCAATTTTTGTATCTGTGAGATTGATAGTGCTCTGATACAATCCTAGTGGAATCGGTGGAATTACAGCAGGTTCCCAGCCCTGATTAAGAAAAGGATGATCCATAGTGCCAGTCTTAATTAGTGAGGTCTCTTTTAACGCGCTGCTTATGATTGCTAAGGTAATACTTCCTACCTAGGATTTCAAGGGTGAAAATTATTTTTTATTAATTTTTTTTCCTCTCCATGTTAGACTCCTAAAATGCTCTTGAAAAAAAAGTCACAAGGGACAAGAAAAATATTTTAACAACTTTCTCTTTATCTCCTGTCTTCTTTTCACAGTTAGGGCTGTAAATCTGAACAATGTCATGGGAGCAGTATTTTATAATGGTAAAAGTGACAATTTATTCCATGATTAGAAGGTCCCCAGGCAGAAAAATTCTCATTAATAGGAGAGATTGAGTAAATTACAATAATTAGGAAACCAAGGATAGTCATGCATGTTCATCCATTGCTAAAGGAAGCGATTCTTTTTTCTGTAGCTGAGGATTTCTCATTAGATTTGCTCTTGAGTCTCTGCCGGATGCCTGGCTCTGGCACATGCAGCATGAACTTTGCAAGGAGACTCACTGATTTCACATCAATTACTAGCTGTTGATAGGCATGGAAATATTTTGACTCTAGAGACAAGTGACAGCTGGTGCAGCTGTAGGAAAGGAAGGAGAAAGCACCTGCTCTGATGACTACAGTGCAGGGAAGACAGGGCTCCCTGCCAGCAGTTTCAGCACTCTGTAAAACCCACATGCAAAAGGTGCTGCTGATACCTGTTGACTCTGCTGGCCATCCTCCATGAGCTCTGCCCTTGTTGTGGCTGTGTCCTTGCCCACTTCAGCAAGCCAAGCAGCATTGTCTTCCTCTTTACAATGCTAAAATAATTCAGCAGCTAAAATAATTTAAGTTTCAGTTTGGAACAGGCTGAATGAATTTGTAAAACAGAGTTCACTGTTCAAAATGTAGCTTACAAATAGGGTTTGGATTTTCAAACACACTGCAGCCTGTGGCTGATTGTGAAGGCAGGGTGGGTGAGCCAGCACTGCACAGGCTGACCCCAGAGCCTGGGCGCAGACAGAACAGACAAGCTGTTTCTGCTTGGAAAATGCAGTGTAACCTACCTTATCAAAGCAGTCATAGGAAAACATGATCTAAACTGATAAAAGAAGACTAGGGAGTGACACCCTGTACCTGTGTTGATGACTTTTTAATGATTTTACCCAATGACAGCTGCCAGGGTATCTCACATGCTGCTCAAACTACATGAGCATGTGCTGGTGTCTTCTTTTCCTCCCAAACTGCAAGAGGATGGCTGGTACCCACCCCAGGTAGTGTCTGTGTTATACTGTGGCGGCAACATGACAAAAGTAAAATAACGTGCATTAGAGTATTTCACTTCCAGAAAGGCTGAGCTGTGAATGCTTCTCTTCTAGAAAAATTTGCGCTTCTGTCTATTCCTCTGCTTAACAGCTAAACCTTGCACAGTTTCTGATTAGAGAATGTTTTGCCAGTTCATGTTTTTGTTGTCTTTTTGGGAGGAAAGACAGGGATTTTATTGATTTATTTTAGCTCAAAAAATTGAGCATCTCCTCCACTTAGAGGAATGCAGATTTTCTTCTGGTAATCATTACTACAGAAGGGCCAGCTGCTCATCAAAGCTTTGATAATTAAGTCTAATTTGGGGCCATGTGGGCTAACTAAACTGACTCTTGGCATACAGAATCGCAGCTTTTGGGGCAGGACTGGGTGTATCCATGCACCACTCAGCACGCAAGATGAGCTGGTGCTCGTCATGGCAAAGACACTCATTCCCACTGCCATTTAGGTCTTGCTGCTGTGTTATGGCAAATTGTCCCTGAAAACACAGATCATCTTTCTTCCTGGGTGCCTTCTGTGGGGTATCCAGGTAGGTTACTGATTTAAACTACAAAGAATTCTTCTGGCTGCTTCAGCACCTAATTCAGAACAGATGTGCAAACTGGTATTATTTACAGCTCCAGCCTCCCAAGCCAAAGGAGAGATCATTAAATCCCTTTACAATCTCCTCCATATGTGCTTAATCCATGTGTAAAAGGGCTCTAAGTAAGCATCAATAGCACCAGCCAGATACAGTAGTCCAGAAAGTGCAAAAATCCTCTAAATAACTGTAGCCTTCCTCTACTTTAGGACCTTCTTAACTCTGAAAATCTGACAAGGTACAAAACAGAAACCTGCCCGGAGAAAAGCTGAATTTTCAGAATTTCGGAATAGGTTTGGCCCGATTTTGCACAAGGTTTGGGAGGCTTTGTAAGGGCTGGAGGAAGCATCTCCTCCTGCCAGATACTAAACATCCCAGAAGCTTTCACAATGGTAGGAGCATGTGCTTGTCCTCAGAAAGATTGAGTAGGGATCATCTCTGTTTTAACACCTCTGCTGAGAAAGAAGATGCCCTGCTTTTACGCAGGAAAGTAAAGGTTGGAGTACTCAAAAAGAGAAAGGAACATCAACTGTGAATTTTCTTAGTGGGACTGTGTTCCCACCATCATTTCCTACCTCCCAGCAGAGCTGGGAATCCACCAGGTAGTTCTTTATATTTCGTGCTGTGTAGAGTCCTCACATGTGCAGCAGGACACAAGGGTTTTGTTGTTTACATCCAAGGTTGTTGGGAACCCCAGTGTCCCCCCTGCCAAGTGGGAACCCAAATCACTCATCCAAATGTTGACATGACCTATCTCTGGCACCATGAGCCCTGGTCCCCGTGCCATGCAGCAATAGCACAGCAGTGACACTGAAGTATTACAGCTTTCAGGAGAACTGTGTGCCTATCAAAACCATCACAAATTATTTTAAACATATATCTTTGACTGTATTCCCCCAGCATTGCAGCATTCCCTATACCTGCATGTTTTAGCCTGTGTAGCTCAGATATTAAACAGGACAGCACAACCTAGCACAAGTAAGCACAACTCTAAAAACATGGGCTGCTTATCCATGGAGCTAATGCTCTTTATAAAGTTTGGGGGTTTTGCCATCACCAGCAAAGAGCTGAGGAGACCAATGTGTTAAGAGGTTTTGTAGGACTGTCCAGTTACATGGATTTGGCTCCAGGTCCTCTCAAAGACTGCTGAAGTCACAGTCTAATGTCCCTATCCTTTCATCCAAATGTAGGAGTCACTTTATCTCCTGAAAAGTATTTGCTTATGCTATTGCTCATTCTGATTTTCAAGCAAATATCACAGAGCATCCCATCATTAAATACATAATAGGAAAATAATAATGGGTGCTGTCAAATTTCTGGAGTAATCTCTGCAAATGCAATCACACATTTTAGAAAATAGACATATCAAATAATTCAGAGGTAATTTTGCAATCTTTTAGTGGGGGAGAGGAGGAGGATTAAGTTTACACAAATAAGGTGTCAGAGACTCCTGAACACAGTCTCTGCATTATGCTGTAATGACTATTGCTATTCCTGAGATGCTGCGCTGAGAACGACCTCTTTGGGAAGCTGCTGCTGCAGTGCTGTTGGCCAGGCTGGCCTCATCCAGTGGCTTAAATTCAGCACAGAAGGGATCTGGCAGTAGGACAGCCCAACAGGGAGCAGCTGCTCTGAGCCGGCTCATTTGGGCAGCTCTACAATAGCAACCCTCATACTATGTCCCTGTGCTCCACACAGGCACATGGTTTGCACCTGTCTGCCTCTCCTTTATAAATATGCCTAGAAGATATAAATCTTTTACATTTTTTGAGATATTTTAATTATACTGATTAGGCACATGTAATAATTTTAAGTGACTAAGAAAAACAATACTCTGGACTTTTAAATAGGGCTGTCAAAATCATAAAATTATGGATGGACCTTTGAGTGATCTAATATTATCTTTCTACATTAAAAATATTCTACAAAAGAATTGATTTACAAATTTACAAATTTGTGTTTTCTGATGACATTTAAATCAGGAATATCTGTCTAATTCTGTGGAATTTTCCTAGAGTGCAATAGGTAAAACATCCTGCAATAACTGAGCAGTACTGTCTGCATTTATTACCTGTCTTGTATCCAATCACAACAAAATGGCAAATAAGAACTATTTGGTAATAGAATT